ATCAGCTCGAATGGTAAAGACCAGTAAGGAGTGACCATGATAGGAGCATGAGTGAGCTTCTTCTCCGGGGTCGGGAATGCCGTTGTGCACGCGTCAGTGAACTGGAAGGGGGCATCCTTCTCAAGGAGCTTCGTCAGGGGCAAGATGATCTTGGAGAAGTCTTTTATGAACTGCCTATAGAACCCTGCATGGCCCAAGAAACTGCGGATCCCCTTAACAGATGTGGGAGGAGACAACTTGTTGATTGTCTCGATCTTGGCTCTGTCCACCTCTATCCCCATATTGGAGATCTTATGCCCCACAACTATGCCTTCACAAACCATGAAGTGGCACTTCTCCCAACTCAGCTCCAGGTTTGTCTCCTCACACCGTTTTATGACGAGTTCCACGTTATGGAGACAGTGAGAAAATGAGTCCCCATACTGTGAAAAGTCGTCCATAAACACCTTCATGATTTCTCCGACCAGTCGGTCGAAGATGGCCAGCATGCATCGCTGAAATGTGGTCGGGGCATTGCACATCCCGAATGGGATCCTCCGCTAGGCGAATGCGCCGAAAGGACAGGTGAAGGTGGTCTTCGTCTGGTCTTCCAGTACAATGGGGATATGAAAAAACCCAGACATCCCATCCAGGAAACAGTAGAACTCGTGCCTCGGCAGCCTCTCCAACATCTGATCAATGAAAGGCAACGGAAATGGTCCTTCCGGGTGGCGTCGTTGAGGCGACGATAGTCGATGCAGACGCGGTACCCGATCACTGTGCCCATCGGTATGAGCTCGTTCTTCTCGTTGGGTACCACGGTTATCCCACCCTTCTCAGGCACCACCTAGGTGGGACTGATCCACTCACTATCAGAAATGGCGAAGATGATCCCCGCGTCCATCAGCTTCACGAGCTCTGCCCGATCCACAGCCTCCAGGTTCAGTGTCAGTCTCGGTTGGGGCTTTCTCGCTGGCCGCATCTCATCCTCTAGTAGTATCCGGTGTGAACAGAAGGAGGGGTTCATCCCCCGGATATCAGTGATTTTCCATGCCCCGACAGCCTCTCTAGCATCTAATCACGAGTGCGGGTTTGAGGGTCGAGCAAATAATGACTGGAAGCTTGTTCCCCTCCCGGAGAAATGCATACTCCAAGTGAAGAGGGAGGGGCTTTAGCTCCAGTTCTAGTGGTGATGTGAAGAGAGGATGAGATCGGCTTGAACTGCTTGGCACCCTCCAGAAACTTGCCACTCTCTTCCAGCTGTAGCTCCTGTGATGCCTGCTCACCTAGCAAAATACAACGCTCAAGGTCATCGTCAATACCTGCACTCGTGATGGCGAGTGCATTCTCTAAATCAGCCAGCATATCACAATAATCCAAGTCATCGTGCAAATGGGAATGCTTTCGCATTATCAGACACATAAAATGTAGCATGTTCATGCCAGCTCGCAAGATTAACTTGCCACCATGCACATCAATCAGCGCCTTGGCGGTGGCGAGAAATGGTCTACCCAAAATCGAAGACACATTCACATCCTCATTTATATACAGAATAACAAAATCAATAGGGTATGTGAATGCACCCACATTAACAAGCAAGTCCTCTATGATACCCCTAGGATGCAAAATAGAGCGATCAGCAAACTGAATGCTCATCCTAGTTGTTCTAAGTTCACATAGGCCTAGCTTCTTAAACAATTTATAGGGCATGACATTAATGCTAGCGCCTAGGTCCACCAAGGACTTTCCTACTTGCTGCCAATGACAAGAGGGATAGTAAAACACCCGGAGTCTTTGTGCTTCTCGGGCAGCTTGTTCTGCAGGATGGCAGAACACTCTTTGCTCAGCATCACTATCGAGAGATCCCCACCTCTTCTTTGTCAGTTGGCAGTGCTGAAGCAGGTGTTGGCTCCTCCTACCTGGCCGGAGCAGGGATAACAGATGTCGTCTTGCCACTTTGAGTAGTGATGGCATATAGCTGCTGGTGAGGCTCACGAGGATTTGGGATGGTGGTGGTAGGCAGAGTTCCCGGTGCTCTAGTGGTGTTCTAGCGAGCTATGCCTCCAATCTGGTTCTAGAGGTCCAAAAGTATGGCACCTGGTTCCTTTGGCCTACTTCTAGTGAGGTGATGCAGTGGTCCAGCCTGGCAAAATTCGATGTGCTGGTACTCACTAAAGTCTGCAGCATGTTCCTCAGCTCTGACATCTGATCATCCTGTACTTGAGCTACTGCCGGTTGGGAAAACTGTCTCTGCTTTTGTTCAAATGTTTGGCCCCGCCGGGGCTGGTAGGGCTGCTGCTGTGGAAATGGGCCCTGTCTGGCCTGGAAGGGCTGCCTTTGCTGAAAACCACCTGCTCTATCTAGGAAGCCATGAGGGTTGGTGGTTTTGCTGTTGTTTTTGTTCCACCACTGGCACTGTGCAACCAAGTGGCCAGCCAATCCTCAACCATCTCCCGCTCTAGCTCGGATCTAGTTTCCATAGAATGAACACCTCGATCCGGGGAACTCCTGCCTTTAGTGCTCTGCCCCCAAGAATGATCTCTAGCAGCCAAAGTACTGATCATCTGATTCAGCTCGGGTGGAGTCTTGGTGAGAATGTCCCTTCCTGGGCAAAGAGACTCTAGCACCCTCTGGCTCTCTAGAGTTAGAGCACTGTAGAAGTTCCCCACTATAAATGCATCACTAAAACCGTGATGGGGACATTGTCAGAAGAATCCCGAGTACCACTCCCAGGCATCATGTAGAGACTCATCTGGCTCCTAGCGGAAATGAGTGATCTCCCGCTGAATCTTTGTGGTCTTCGAGGCCGGATAGTACCTGTGCACGAATTTGTTGGCCAGATCGTCCCATGACGTGATGGACAGTGGGGGCTGGGTCTCTAACCACCTCTTCGCATGCCCCTTCAGAGAGTGGGGGAAGAAGTGAAGACGGATCACATCATCTGGTGCACCATTCAGCTTGAACCCATTGGTAAGCTGCAAGAACCGGGAAAGGTGCACCCTCTCTTCTTCATCCTTGAGGCCATGAAACTGGATGGAGGATGTGATCAGTTGAATACAGCATGGCATGATATCAAAGTTATTTGTCGGAATGGGTGGATACAAGATGACGGGGAGAATGTCGGCGACCCGTGGAGTGTAGTAGTACTCCATAGTAGGACCCGGCGGGGGTGGTGGATGCTGAGCCCCATCTAGCTGGGGAACTGGGTTATTGGCCAGAACCTGATTCACAGGGGGAACCTGCATATGCATCCCAGGGGTTGGTACTACCCCAGGTTCAGGTTCACCCTGCTATGCTCGTCGCCCATTTCGTACTCCTCTTCAGAGTCACTGCTCAGATGGCCATCAACGTGCACTTCCTCTGTAGCTAGTCTTGCTTGCTGTTGTCTCATAAGATGGATACAAGTGCGTTCTAGCTCCAAATCCAACGGTAATAAGTCTCCCGACTGGCTATGGGTCATACACTACTTGCACACAATCCAAGCAAACCCATGAAGGCACAAGTGGGACAAAGCAGAACAATCAATGCGAAAAATAAATGCTGAAGTAAATCATGTCTCTTCAACAACTTAGCTGTCCCCAGCAACGACGCTAATAACTTGACTCGCTTGTAGCGTCACACTAGAAAGTGGCCAAGTGTAACCACCTACTGATGCGTAGTATAGCAGGCTTAGGTTCAAATGTTAACCCTGGTCCTAGGTGTGATGACTACTCCGTGAGATTCTTATTATTCACCAGTTCAACTGTAGTGAAGTTCCAACTAAACTAACAAGCAAAAGCAGTAAATGTTGTGTTCCAAGTTTGAGAGAGGTCACCCAGATATGATTCCCCCTAGACTGCAGTTAAGCCAAGTTGTAATTTGCCAAGTTGAGAATAAATGATAATTATACTGCGGGAGGTTCTTAGATAGTTTGCAGTCTCGACTAAAGGTCTCCAGACCCTCTCAATTTGAGTCCCTAGTGGGCGACTAACCTCCACCGTAGTAAACAAACTGAGACCCTAATGTACCAAACCTCCTCTACTAGAATAAATCCAGTACAGAATAGTGAATCGACTCCTCGACTAAAGTCGTCAATTCACTACCTTCAATCAAGGGTGGTCTATCAACCTAGGCAGATATTCTCATTCTAGGTCAAAGCATGAATAATAGGAATTTGATCAGGATTCATGCAATTTAGAAAACCATGCCTCAACAGAATATAATCGGTATAAAAGAATTCATACTTGGGTTCATACAACCAGACCTAACATAAAAATATAGGGTTCTCCATACCCAATTGAGTGAGAGATTTTACTCCATAGAGAGAGAAGGGGAATCTAGGTCAGATGTAGAAATCATACTATGAAGGATGAGAATCTGCTCTTATAGTCAATCTGCACTTCTCCAAGCTTTAGCCGAATTCCAATGGTGATGAAGATTGATCTAGGGCACTTGGAGACTCTGGTTCGTCGCCCTCTCTCTCTAGGTATCTGCTTTCTTTCTCTAAAATTCGGATCCCCCTAAAAAATGGCCTTCTTTCCCTCAAAAGGGTGCAAATCGCGATACCCAACTGCAATACCCGGTCGGGTAATTCAGGAGGTCGACCGGGTATTTTGAAAAGCAACATCGTGGGGAAAGGGGAATACCCGATCGATGTCCAGAATATCTAATTGGGTATTTAAGCATTCCGGCAGGGATCCCTTCTGTTTCCTCGCCTCCAAAACGTGTTTTACCCGGCCTCTCTTCGCATTTTACCCGGTCGAGTATTTCAGCTCCTAACCGGGTATTTTCATCTGATGGTGATGTGTTCTATGTTCTGGTCTCAGCTCGGGTCCTTGTACGCTCCTCTAGCTCTAGCCTTCCACTTTCCGACCCAAAACTCGTTCCCACGCCTCCATATCCACGCCAAGTCCTGAAATATGACATAAATGAACAACCTAGTGTGAAATCGGCCTAAAACGCGAGAATCCACTCTCAAAACGGTTCAAGAAATGGTGGTAAAAACATTTATAAATAATGGTCTATAAGTACCGGAGGAGGAAATGGTGGATATCATAAACTAGTGTCATACGAGACTAGTTGGAGGCCATCACGGAGGGAACCGAACGACAAGAAAGGTGCTCCAGTCAGGATTCTATTGGCCGATCCTTTTCTGGGATGCCTACAATTTTGTGCGTCATTGTGACATATGCCAAAGGACAGGTAATGCTTCTAACCAAAAAGAGATGCCCAAAACGATTTCTATCACTTGTGCGATCTTTGATGTTTGGGGCATCGATTTTATGGGTCCTTTACCCTCGTCTTTTGGTAACAAGTACATTCTTGTTGTCGTAGACTATGTCTCGAGCTGGGTCGAGGCTCAAGCTCTCGCCACCAATGATGCAAGACGAGTCTGTGGTTTCCTGAAAAAAGCCATTTTCATGGTTCGGGACCCGAGGACCATTGTTAGCAACCGTGGAACCCATTTTCAGGGACAATTCGAAAAACTCCTCGATCGCTACGGCATCACCCACCGGGTGTCCATGGTCTATTATCCCCAAACTAGTGGACAAGTCGAGTTATCAAATAGGGAACTGAAATGGATACTAGAAAAGATCATGGATCAATCCTGCAAGGATTGGTCCTCAAAACTCGATGATGCTCTATGGGCATACCGCACGGCCTACAAAACCCCAATAGGCATCTCGCCTTACCTTTTGGTGTATGGCAAAGCATGCCACTTGCCCGTAGAGATAGAGCATATGGCTTTCTAGGCCACAAAGCTTTTGAATATGGACCCTAGTTTATGTGGCAATGAACAAAAGCTGCAGGTGCTTGAAATGAAGGAATGGCGTCTCCAAGCCTATTAGAACACCCAGATTTACAAGGAAAAGATGAAGCGCTTGCACGATGCTCGTCTGAAAGGAGGGAAGGATTTCCAGCCGGGAGACCAGGTTCTCTTGTATAACTCCCGGTTGAAATTATTCTCAGGGAAGATAAGGTCGAAATGGTCGGGCCCGTTTGTGGGAACGCAAGTGTTCACATACGGGGTGGTTGAGATCTACCACCCGGAGGAAGGAAATTTCAATGTGAATGGACACCTCCTGAAACATTACCTTGGAGGATAGGTAATGCCGCACAAAAAGGTGGTGTTCCTGCAAGATGCATGACCTGGAGTCTCCGTCTAGCTTAAGACGTTAAAGAAGCTCTTGTTGGGACTCAATGGAAGTTAGCAAGTTTGCCCTACCACTACTACTATTGTATTGTGTTTGTAATAACCTCGCCTCGAGCAATTCGTATTGTGTTTGTCTGTGTTTGTTTTTTTCTTTTCTTCGAAGCTCCAAATCTCCTACCCCAGAAACAATTCCAACTTTCACTCACCAAGCAAAGCGGTAACGTCGTTCTACCCCTATCTTACGCCATTGAGGGCAATGTCAAGCATAAGTGTGTGTGTGAGGGGGGGGGGGGGGGGTAGTCTACTTTTATGCTTGGGTGAGTGTGCTTAAAAAATGGAGCCTTGATTTATGCCCAAATTTGAAAATTTTGAGGGCTCCAAGCAATGTTTGCATGATCAAAGTGGCCGGTTTATAGGAGAATCTTGTGGTTATTGGCATTGACCTTCAATTGTTGCATGTGATCGAGTATGTCCTATGATGATGATTGAGACGTGCATTAGGGTAGTGCAAAGGTTTATTTCTCATGTGTCCAAAAATGAATGGATCTTTTGACTCGATTACTTGTTGATTATAATTGCCATTCATGTTTCTTTGTGAATTGGAATAGATGATTGGGTGACTAGGTAGCCATGTGAGCTTTGAGCCTACCGTTTTCTTCTTGTGTGCTTATATCCCTCTTACCATGGCGAGTAACATCACAGCTGTCACTAGTGAGTATGATGGAGGCATAGGATTAGTCCACACCCAAATGTTAATTGTACCCAATGAATTATCCCCTAGTCAACCCCTTTGAGCCTTGTGACTTGGGGGGGGGGGGGTCGTTCTTATGTTAGGAGCATTTTGCTTGTGAGATTAATGGTGTTAATAGAACGACTCCCCATCCTTTCTTCGTGTCTTTACATTTTTCGTTCTTGTGTCCCAGAGCTCTCGCTTTTGAGCTCCGTTGAGGTTCTACATAGGAGGATTGTGTGTGGTTCTTGCTAGGATAGAAAGTGAAAGGAAGAGTACTGTTGGAGTGAGTTCTTAAAAAGAGAGCATTGATCGTTAAAATTAGTGTGGCAAATGTTTAACTCTCTAGTACCCCATCAAAAAAGAAAAGAAAAAGGAAAGTAGAAAGAAAGAGAAAGAGAAACGAAAAAGAGGTAATAAAACAAGGTAATAAAGTAGAGAGTGCCACAAGGAATCAAAGAGTATGTTCTAGGTGAGGTTTCTTGGCACACAAGCCATTGAAACCTCCACATTGTCTTAGAACTCCTTTGCTACCAAATCAAAGTGTGATAGCAAGAGTGGACCGAGGAAGAGTGCTTAAAGGAAGTTCATGATGGCTGATAGTTTGGAAGGAAGAAGCAAGGTTTTTGGCCGATGCTAGTGGTCGTTGTTTGTGAGGAAGGTTCTTAGTCAAAACGATAGAACCTTTGGTTTTAGGGTGAAGATGTAGGACCTCATGATGTGTTTGCCACCACCCAAAAAGCCTTTTCCCATGTCCAAGACAATCACCAGTCATTTGAACCCGTGTCTAAGACCTCCAGACAAGCTAGTGATGACAACCGTTCTGTGAACTCTAGGATTTAGAGGTTGTCTCCATGGTGTTGAGACAATAGGGGAAAGAGTTGATGTTTGCGCACATTTTTTTTCACTAAAAGGTCCCAACCCCACTGGTCTAGAGGTTGAGCGATTCATTCTTGTTTTGCATATCATATCATACCCCGGTGAGGACCTTTATTGCCCATCCGTTTGTTTCTTGGACTTGAACTCTATGCATGGTTAGTAGTGGTTGGTAAGTGATCTTGTTGAAACTTGCATTGATTCATGAACAAGGTGAGAACTTTTCATCTGCCCGTTTCTAGTAGCCTCGAATGTCGTTTGTCGTGGATGTCAGTATTGCTTGCAACGGTCCTTTTGTTAATTTCCAATAGACATTTGACATTCGCCACTTTGTGCCCTTTGAATTGTCCCCGAAGCATTTTGATAGGTTGAGTTTTTACCTTGCGTGAAATGGTTTGCTTGGGGTGAAGCAAACGTCTATGTGTGGGGGAGTAATTCGGGTCTAATTGTACACATTTTATCCCCGTTTTCCCGTTTTCCTTAGACTTTTGATGCATTTTTACTCCATGAGGTGTGGTTTTACGCTAGGTAAAGCTTTTTTTTAGTATGTTTTTACTCCAGTACGAGTTCACGGTCAACAAGACCGTGAAGATTGAGGCCAAACCATGAACTCCCTATGGCGAAGCTGTGCGTTTCGACATCGCGCTCTGTGCTCACGGACGCGTTGAAGAGTTCACGACCGAGAACTGAGGCCACGAACTAAGCCGGATCCTGGTATATAATGTGAGCTGAAAGAAAGAGAGGGGGAGCCCAAAGTGTGAGAAAGTGTCTTCTTCATATTTTAGAGAGAGAAAGGACGAACCAAGGAAGAAAGAAGGCTAGCGTTTGCTCTAAGTGGTGGATTGGGAAGATTCTCCCCAAGAGAAGATCAACACAAGCTCAAAGGAGATTGGAGGCATCACCATGATGGTTTCTACCTCTTCCTCTTATGTTCTTCCCCTTCCTGGCATGGAGTAGTACTCTTTTTCACTGGGGTGTTGTGAAACCCTAACTATTTGCCGTGTAGTTGTTGGGTGAATTGAATGATTGTTTATGGGTGTTGTTTAATTCAATGATTGAGGTATTTTTCATGTTTTTTGTGCATGTTTGTGCTTAGCAATTTAATTGGCCATTCTAACCTAGATGAGAAGGAAAACCCCCTTTCAAGGGAGGCTCAATTGAGTTAGGATTCCTTGGGCTTTTTAAGCCACCTATCTAGGTTAATCTAGGGCAAACCTCTATGTTGAATTAAGCAATTTGGTTAAGTGTGATTAAGCCGACCAAACATTGGGTTGAGTGAGAGAGTAAGTCAACCATTGATTGCCTTAACCAACAGGGCTACTTGAGTAGCCTATAATGTATCCCTTGGTTTGGCAAACGAGAGTGTGGTCTACGACCATAGTTCCGTTTCCTAGCGGTTCACGGTCAACTTGCCCGTAACAATTAATTCAATTCTTCGTGGCATGGTAGTAGTTAGGGGGGAGCGACACCCGAGTGACCTTCTCAAATAGAGATTTCAAAACAGTTTACTTTGCCTTGCTTAACTTTGATTAGCAATCTTTTCAACCAAATCCGATTCGCTAGATAATGTTTCACACAATTGAAGTAGGGGTACACGGACCGACCCGAGTTGATATTTAAATATACTTGCCCTGTATTGAACCCTACTAAGGTTTATACTTGGACCTTAGGCGGGAATTAATTGTGATATTTGGGACGAGTCATCAGTTTATGGTCTTAGTTGACCGTGAACTTATCAATGCGTCCGTGAACCAAGGTGCTTCCGCATTTAAAAAAAAACTCGCCATATTACCCCACTTCATGAGCTGCGAGTAATGTTTACGGTCTTAGAGATCGTGTACTGGCCAACATGTCCGTGAAGTTGGGGATCTGCCTATAAAAGGGGTGTGAACCCCTGATCTTCACTTCACGACCACTTTGCGCCGGAATCCTTTCAAAATCGACGGAAAACCGCAATTTTCCGTCAAATTTTGTCGATTTCATCGACCTCCGGCCACCCAAATCCAAAACCAATCACAGACCCAGTCTTCCCACGTTGAGGGCTACCTTCGACAAAGTTTTGGGGAGATTTTGCTCATATTTTCTGGAGAGGCGAATTCCATTGAGCCTTTAGTGAGCTTCCGACGAAGCTCCGGCAACACCTGCCCGTCCTCTTTTCGTGTGATTTTTTGACTCCCTCGCCCTCTCCCCACTTCCACTTCGATTCTACTTGAGTCTCCAGGTTTTTTTTCGACCTTTGCTTGGATAAGTGTTGGAGAATTGGATTATGGTGTGAAGTGAGGTGATTTTGTGAATGATCATTGAATGTAGAAATTTGGCAAGGGATTAGTTGATTTTTGGTGAATTAATGTTGCATGAGGCTTGCATGAGCTTAATTGAGCCTTGGTGGGCATGATTTAGGTACAAATTGCGTTTAAATGTGAAATTTTCCCACCAAGTGCAAAAATGTGAATGAATGTGGATACTTGATGTTTTTGTGGTGGATGGTAACTGCCGAGGGATGACTTAGGTTTGATATTGTCTTGATAATCGGTGAAACACCTAGAACCATGCCTCGATGTGCTGGATCTTAATTGTTTTAATCCATTCTTGAGAGAAAATTTCATTGGCATGGAACCGTAGTGGAAACATAAGTGTAGGGGGGGGGGGGGGGTTTCCTTTTCCTCCCAATGAGTTGAGGTTGACAGTTATTGTCACGTATGGTGCATATTTGAATTATTTTGCAGGATGCTCAACATGAACCACCCGTACCTTTCAGTGCTTAGAGGGAACCATGCAATGGAAAAGGAGCTGAGATTTTAGGCAAGAGCTCACTCTCACTCCGACGCCCACTGGAAACTCGACTTCACTTAGTTCGATGGTCTTCATTGTGGAGATATCATGAGGGAGGCTGTGGCACACCCACAATGGCGCCAGCTCCTTGCAATGGAAGATGACATTTATGGGGAACTGTGTGTCGAGTTTTTCAGTACCTTCACCATCTTTAAGGGCAAGAGCCCGTTTGGACATCGGCTATGCAAGATTAAATTCCAATTAGGAGGGGAACGTTGCATATTGACATTTGATGAGTTAGCCGAGCCATGGGAGTTGAAGGCACCTATAGGCCAGAGCGGGAAGAGGAGGCCACCAGAGATTGCGACATGAAGCAGCATTTCAAAGATTTTGCCTCCCGGAGCACCGACGAACACCGCTTCCATCGGCACTCACGTTGGAATCCATACTTACAGTTGCGTATCATCAATGCACACCTTGCATGTTCCCTCTACCCGAGCTGTCACAATCCAAGCAAGATAACCGAGAGGACTTTGCTGGCATTCGCTTACATGGTATACCCGTCTAGTAATCTTCATCTAGGTACGCTCTTGGACACCTCTTTTGCCAGGGCCATGGGAGGAAGTCGAAGATATGTCATGTCGTTGGGGACCTACATCACCCATAGTACTAGTCGCTTCAATGTCAATCTTGAGGGATGCATGAAGGAGGGGAACTCATTGGGGTTTGGCGAGGACACTTTGAGTTCCATGCATTTATTTCGAGTATTTGGACCACATCAATTTATCGAGGGAATGAGCCTACCACCAGAGGTCCCTCCTCCCGTGCAGCCACCTGATCGAGCTCTCAGCCGCCGCCGACGTGTCGCACCTTCACGACCTGCACCTCCACCACCAACAACAACATCATCATCTGGAGCCACTCCTTCCACCTACAGGGATCATCTAGTGGAGCGGATGGATCTCCTAGAGAGTCGAGACTCACGTTGTGGGAGTCACCACTTGGCTCACAGATTTGGTAGAAAGGATGGCTCGACGCCAGGGTGTCCTTCGGGACGATGAGCCAGGGCCTTCGATCCGTGAGAGGTAGATGATGAGTGAGACATGTGGCAAAGCGGATTTCTTTCACCCCACTTCTCCGTTTGGAACTCTGAACTCTTTGATCTTTCATTTTATTTTTCTTTTTATTTTGTGTGTGTGTGAACAATTAGTACTACTACTATCGTATTGATATGTGTAATAACCTCACCTCTAGCAAGAATGTATGTGCTTGTGTTTGCTTTTGTCTTCTCCTTGAAGCCCAATATCCTACCTTCGGAAAAATTCCAACTTTTACTCACCAAGCCACGCGGTAACATCGTTCTACCCCTATCTTACGCCATTGAGGGCAATGTCGAGCTTAAGTGAGGAGGAGGGTAGTTTATTATTATGCTTGTGTGAGTGTGATTGAATGATTTGAGCCTTGATGTATGCCAAAATTTGAAAATTTTGAGGGCTCCAAGCAATGCTTGCATGATCAAAGTGGCCGGTTTGTGGGAGAATCTCGTGTTTATTGGCATTGACCTTAAATTGTTGCATGCGATCGAGTGTGTGCTATGATGATGACTGAGAAGTGCATTATGATAGTGCAAAAGTTTAGTTCTCATGAGTGAAAAATGAATGAATATCTTGACTCGATGACTTGTTTATTACAATTGCCATGCATTGTGTTTTGTGAATTGTAATAGATGGTTGGGTGACTAGGTAGCCATGTGAGTTTTGAGTCGTTTGTTTTCTTCTTGTGTGCTTAGATCCCTTTTACCATGGTGAGTAGAACCAAAGTTGTCACTAGTGAGTATGACAGAGGCATAGGATTAGTCCACGCCTAAATGTTGATTGTCCCGAAATAGTCTATCCCCCCTAGTCAACCCCTTTGAGCCTTGTGACTTTGGGGGTCGTTCTCTTGTAGGAGCTTTTCGCTTGCAAGTTTAATGGTGTTTTGATTAAACGACCCCCGTCCTTGCTTTGTGTCTCTACGTGAGTCGTCCTTGCGTCCCGGAAGGGTTTCTCTAGGAAGGGTTTCTTAGCACTCAAGCCATTGAAACACCCAAATTGTTGTTGAACTCCACTAATATGTTTGAAATATAATAGCAAGAATAGGATGAGGAAGTGTGCTTTAATGTAGTTTGTAATGGGTGATAGTTTGGTTTGGAAAGAAGTAAATTTTTTGGCCGATGCTAGTGGCCGTTGTGTGTAGGGAAGGTTCTTAGTCGAAGTTGTAGAACCTTCATTTTAAGGTGAAATTGTAGGACCTCATGTTGTGTTTTCCACCACCCAAAAGGCCTTTTCCCCATGTCCAAGACAATTTCCAGTCATTTGGACCCGTGTCTAATACCTCCTGACAAGCTAGTAATGGCAACCGTCCCATGAACTCTAGCATTTAGAGGTTGCCGCCATGGTGAAGAGATGATAGGGCCAATTGTTGATGATTGTGCACATTTTTTGCACCAAATGGTCCTGCCCCACTAGTCAAGAGAGTGATTCATTTTTGTTTTGCATGTCATATCATACCCCGGTGAGGACCTTTATTCCCCATTCGTTTATTCCTTGGACTTGAATGTTATGCATGGTTAGTTGTGTCTGATGAGTGAACTTGTTGAGACTTGCATTGATTCATGAACAAGTTGAGAACTTTTCTTTTGGCCGTTTTTTGTGTTCTCCAATGTCGTTTGTGGTAGATCCCAGTATCGCTTGCAACGGTCCATGTGTTAATTGCCAATAGCCATTGAGATTCCCCACTCTATGCCCTTTGATTTGACCCCAAAGTATTTTGTTTAGGTTGAGATATTACCTTGTGTGAAATTTTTTGCTTGGGGACAAGCAAACGTCTAAGTGCGGGGGAGTGGTTGGGGCCTAAATGTACACTTTTCATCCTCGTTTCTCTTTGGCGTTTGTGGCATTTGAGATCCAAAAGGTGTGGTTTTACGCTAGGTTTGTCGTGTTTTGGTGTCTTTTAGAATCTAATAGGTGGAACCAACCCCAAAGTCGATTGTTGGAAGAAATTGCACGAAGATAGGACCAAAGGAGGAAGCAGCCGAAGATCACGGTTTAGGCAAGAAGTTCACGGTCATCTAGACCGTGAACTGTAGCCATTAACCGTGAAATGGCAGGGTTCCAAAGGGATTTTACAGGTTACCGGCACCAACCCTGGTCACGGTCGTAAGACCGTGAACGGAAGGCATGGACCGTGAACCAACTCATTGAAATGGCGCGAATTGGTTCTGGTTCATGGTCTCCGCCATTAGTTCACGGACATGTACTGAGACCGTGAACTGGGCGCGATCTGTGTATAAAAGAAGAGCTAAAAGGAAGAAAAAAAGGGAGCCCAAAGTGAGAGAAACCTTCTTCTTCTTCTTCAGGAATCTAGAGAGAGAAAGCCACTAACAGAGAGGGAGAAGAAGCGAGGGTTTGCTCCATGTCAAGATTTGGGAAGTTCCTCTTCAAGAGAGGATCTCTGAAAACACAAGGGAGGATTGAGGCATCACAATGATGGGTTTTCCCCTTTCATTTGTGTTCTTCCTTCTTCTAGCATTGAGTAGTCTCCTATCACTTGGGTGTTGTAGAACCCTAACTTTTACCATTTAGTTAATTAAGTGGATTGAATGATTGTGTATGGGTCGTGTTTAATTTGAGATTTGAGGTATTTTTCAAGGTGATTGTGCATTGTGTGTGCTTGGAAATCTATTGTGCTATTCTAACCTAGCTTAGATGGAAATCCCCTTATCTTAAGAGGCTCAAATTGTGCTGGGCTTTTCTTGGGCATTCCATGCCTCCTATCTAGGTTAGTGTAGTGCAAATCATAAAACTCAAATTGAATACCTAGGTTAATTGTGCTTAAGCCGTCCAAACCCCCGGTTTGAGGGAGAAGTTAAGTCAACCCTCAATTGCTTGGGGCCAAGAGGGCTACATTTGTAACCTATAATGCATTTCTTGGCCTAGCAATTTAGAGTGTGGTTTCTAACCACTATTGCTCCTCCTAGTGGTTCACAATCGCCTTTTCCCACACCGATTTATTCGATCCCATAGGTCATGGTAGTTAGTTAGGGGGAAATAACTCCCGAGTGAAGCTTATCACCAAGAGTTTCAATCCTTTTAATTTTCAAGTCATTCGTTTTGATCGTAGATTGTAGAGATTTTCACAAACAACAATCCTCTAGATAATGTTTCAAACAATCAAAGTAGGGGTACATGGGTCGGCCCGGATCGATATTTAAACACACTTTCCGTATATTGCACCCGTTTAAGGTTTATACTTGGACCTTAGGTGGGAGTCTCAAGTCATGAGAATGTGATGAGGTTCTCATCGATAAGGTGGAGTCTCAAGTCACGAGAATGTGTTGTTGAAGGTGTTGAAGGCTCGTGCACTTGATGTAGATGAAGTCTTCACCCTCAAGATCTCTCCATCTTCTCGTTTCACCACTTATTGCGCCAAACTATATATGATAGCATCGATTGACCACTTTCACATCCACCAAGAGGGACCGATGATGATGTGGCCTTGGTCTGGAAAAGAGACACAACAACCGGGTCATTGCCAAGAAGCACCTCGAAATTTGGTGGACATATCTCATGTAACTCATGGCCGGTGCAAGCATCTTCCACCTCAACTTTGTCCTCAGCCTGGATGCTAATTGCTTCTTCAACCCCCTTCATTCTTCCAAATGTGGTCTTCCCCCTTGGAAAAGATCAAGAACTCCTTCTGCTTCACTTATGTCATCCTCCACAATTTCTTCCCTCACATTTGTCACTCTTCTTCTTCAAGCACGAATTGGAGAGCAAGTCGCCAAGAAATTTCTTCGATGATATCATCTTGCATCTCCTCGCTCGGACGCATCATATCAGTGAAGAAATTAGGAAAGGTGTGATCTGCCACCACAGGACATTCCTGATCATGATTATCACATGAGCTATCCGTGACAACTTTTGTATGCTCCTCAACATCCTCATGGTTGGATTCTTCATCCTCCTCTTCTTCTTTTATGGTAGCACAAAGGCAATCTTGAACAAGCTGTGCATAAGAATCCTCAATGATCTCTATGTTCTTCTTCAAGCTCTAGAGGGTCTCCACTATTTCATGGGGAAAGAAGAAGTGAGCTTGGCGAGGGCCTGGATTTAAAGGTCCTTCTTGGAGCATGATATTTCGCTGGTCCCGTGCAAACTGCTTCATGAAAAGCTCCAATCGACTCTTCGACTTTGGCTGTGAAGTGTAGCACAACTCTACATAATGGCCTATAGAGGCCGCTATGGCTAACTCCAACTTAGATGGGCCCTATAGTTGTGGGAGGATTTTTTCTTGATAATGAGATAGTTCTTGAGGTTCCCAAGGTTCTGATAGTTCTTTGTAGTAGGGGGTTAGTACTGGAACACGAATCTGTCGTCTTCTCCTCCTTGATTGCTCCTGGAAGTCTTGGGGTAATACCACTCGGATGGTGGTTAATACCCCCAATGATTGGAGAATCCATGATTTAGATCTGCACCAACAAAAACAAAACACCCAAGTGAAAAGCAAAGGTGAAAAAAATAAAAATGCTAATTAACAAACCTAGTAATAATCCACAAAGTCCCAGGAAACGACGCCAAAAATTTGACTCGCTAGAAGACAAATCCTAAAAATGGCCAAGTATAACCAATGAAAGGGACTGCAGTATAGTGGTGCAAGTAATAAATGTCGAATCCACGAGATCTCTAGATTTACTATTACTCAGCTTCGGTTTATTATCTAGCAAATCATATTACAGTTTGACTAACTAAACTACTACTATAAGCTACTGTAGGCTAGACTACAAATTACAAGTTGGGAAATCACTTAGGTATGATTCCCCCTAGCCAAATTAATGATTGATGATCTCTAAATTATTTCACTTCCATTCACCATGCGGAGAATCCTTGACTAGACATTGAATCTCGACTAAAGAAGTCACGGCCTTCTTAAGTCGATTTCCTAAAGGGACGTATCCTTCTCAAGAAAAACCGATCAAGGCATTCTGAACTAGATTCTCTATATAGAATGAGGTTCTCAATTGATACAAAGCATTCAATGGACCCTCTACTAAAGCAATTGATCCAATACTATCAATCTATGGTGCTCTATTGACCTTATCAGGGATTCGCTCTCATAGGATCAAAGAAGAATCAATAATCTCGACTAAAGCATAAGTGAATCATGAAAAAAATGCATAGATTCAATATGAACTCAAGATTATCAAGTAGGAATACTCATACAATCATCCAATCAAACAACCATAACTAGTGTTAAATGGATTATCTCGCTGCTGAGTTTTACAATCGACTTCGATGGTGAGGGTTCTTCTATTTATGATTGCTAACTTTCCATTTGGAGTCTCAGCAATTATCTCCTCATCAACTTCTTCATCATAGAAGGATTCATCGAGCCTTTTCTCATCGTCTTCAGGCTCGCAGTAGTACTCGTTGTCGCGAAGAACCAGAGTCTTCGGGTTTGGGCATTGAAATGCCTTGTGCCCACGTCCATTGCACTTAAAGCATTCTAGCTTGCATGTTCCTTCTCCAGATTGTTCCTACCCACCCATCTGAATGGCTGAATTTGAAGCTTTACGCCGATTTGAGGTTGCACCCTCAATTCTGGTAGTCTCTGAAGTAGCATTCTACCGAGGAAT